ACACACACACACCACACCACACACATACCCTGCATACTCACATGCTGTTACACATCACACACACCTACTCTCACACACTCTCTCACACTGGCATACACATCTGTTCACACTCACACACATTCCCACAATACACTCACCCACTCATCTCACACAAATGCACACCTATCCTCACTCTCACTGACATTTACAAACTCACATTGACCCAAGTTTCCTCATGTGCGCACACACAGCATGCGCATACATGCACACCCATCACTCACACGCGTGTGCCACAGACACACACTGCCCCCTCACAGGCACGTGCTCTCGCACACACAGACCCTCCCGCCCTCACGTAGGCACTGTCCACACACCTTCTCACTCTCACACGCACACTCCCATGCCCAGTCACAGCCACACACCTCTTACCAAACACGCGTGTGCACACACACACACACACACACACACACACACACGACACACAAAGAACCCAGACCGCCCCTGAGAAACAAGAGGGTCACCGATGACAAATACTTCAGAACCAAACCTGCCCCAGGACAGGGTGGGGGATAGGTTCCTCCCTCCCCCTTCGGCCACCCCCACCCCCTTGAGAGATTTCTAGGGTTGCCAGTTATCCATAAAAAAGCAATTCTTCCACCCGGGGTTCAGCGGTTTCCTTAATGACTCTGTTCCCATGGCAACCAACCCACGAAGGCCTCCCTATCATCTGTTATCTGACAGGGGGAAGCGGAAAGGACTGGCCGTGGGAACGGGGAGGGGCTGAGAGTGGGACGCTCCATGCCCTGGGGGACACCCTCTGGGGACCAGCTGTCCCGCTCCTCAGATGCCCCATCCCTCCTGCACCTGAATTCCAGGTCCCAGACAACAGGAGAGCTGCCTCGCACCTCTGTCCTGCCCCCACCCGTGGCCTCCTCCTTCCTCTTTTCCCACTCAACCCTCCTCCCCTCCACTCAGGCCGTAAGCCACTGCCGGGTCTTTCAGATGGTGCACAAGAGCAAAGGTCACAGCCTCCTGGCTGCCCCAGGTCCAGCGCTGCAACCACTCCTTCCCACTTCAGTCATGGCCGACAAAGCCAAACGGAGCGAGCCCAAATGAATAAAACGTGGGTGGACCAGAAAGCTCAGTGAGACCGGAGAAATTCAGACTGGGCGCCCTGTTCAAAACTTGGGCTCCCTCTTAGCAAACAAGGATGGCGTGCACACTGCACAGCACCCGAAGCTCTCAACAGACAGGGTCTTCAACAACGGGGCCCAGCTCCGAGACGGCTGCAGCCATGCTGTGCTTTGCACGTGAGCTGCTGTCCACAGTCCTGGCAATGAGCCGATGGCCTGCATGGGGCTCCTGAAAGGGCTCCACGGGTCTCTTCTGAGTGTCCCGTTCCCGATCCCGTCTCATTCTGCTATTCCTACATTCCATAAAAGTGGGCCTGCTATGATTTGACTGCACTCTTATGACTCCCCAGCGTAACATTAAGGCAGAAAACAACCAACCCAGCTAGCGGAGTTGATAACTGGATGGTTGGAGGGTCAAGACCAACCAGAGACACCTCAAAAGAAAAGCCTGATTGATGATCTCCCTCAAAAAGCCCTTGAAGCCCCCACAGGGGAGCAGTTCTACTCTGACACACATGCCGTCACTAAGAGCTGAACTTGACCCCTTGGCAGCTGGTTGGTTGGTTCCTTGGATTAGGGGGTCTCCACTAATTGTATTCATCTCCACTTGTATTAGTAGTTTTGTCTCCGGGCGACATAGGCAATGTCTGAAGACAATTCTTAATGTCAGAACCCCGGAGGAAGGCACAGAAAGACTGGCGCTTAGCACCTAGAGCTCAGGGATGCTGCCAAACAGTCTACAGTGCACGGGACAGCCCCTCCCCCCACGTACAATGATCCAGCCAAAATGCCAGTCATGCCAAGGTTGAGAAATGCTGCGTGGATGCTCACTGTCTCCACAGTGTGTAGACGGCATTGCTTTACTTTAAAGAAAAATGGTGCTGGCCAGGGGTTTTAAACCTGGGGTCTATAGTCTTCTTGGAGTCGGGGATCCAGTTGATATTGTGAGCAAGATGCCTGGGCACCTCTGGGTGTCATCCCAAAGTCATCAGATTGTCAAGGGGGCAGGGGACTCGGAGAGCTTGAAAGCCAGTGATGAGGCTCTCATCTGCTCTGAGCCACATCTACAGTTTCCCCTCCTCCACGTACAGCCTCGGGCCACCCACGCTTTTTGTCTGGCCTCTCCCCACTCCTGTCCCTGGCACCTCAGAGCCAGTTACATCATCTGTTGTCAATTTGAGAGGATTAAGAGTGAAGGGGAGGAGTTTAGCCTGTCAATCAGGTGGCAGCTTGATGACCTCATTTGGAGGCACTAAGGAGATAAATAACTCACTTGATGTGGGACGCACACTCACTCCCTGGGAGACATTGCAGCTGACAAGACACAAGGAGCTATGCTAGTGCCCTGAGCTGGAGAAGCCACATGGAGACCCCTGCCAGCGCTGAGATGCTTACAACACCCCTGGATCCACAGGACTTCCCACCCACTGGCCTGTGATCTTCCTGGACTCAGCGTCATTGCATGTGTTTCATGATTCTGAAGAGGGCTTTATAGATTGGTATCAGACATACGGACTAATATTGGGCTTATGGACTTGATCTGGACTAGGCTGGGATGTTTTTCTCCATATTCAATTGCTCTTGTATATAAAGCTCTTTCTTATACACATATGAATCTCCCTGAATGTGTTTCTCTAGTCTACCCAGACTAACACAGAGCCCATAGACCTCCTCTCACTGATGGTGTCAAAGAGGAGGTAGAGGTGCCCTAGCAGACACGAACAGATAGGTGGACACCCTTCTAGCCTCAGAACCTGCTCCAAGCTCCACTTCATGTACACAACACTCTGGGTGCCAAGACGTACCTGGTTTACCTTAACTTCATTTGGGTTGGTCACTCGGTCCAAGCCGTAGTCCAACACGTTGTTCACTCCCGGCTGTACAGAAGAAAGACAGCATCAGAACCAAGAAGAGTATCTACACTCAGACCTCTGGCTCTACAACCCTGAAACCAGAAGAACTAGATGGTGCCCAGCTACCACAAGCAACTGCTCTACAAGGTCCCAGACAAGAGTGGGAGAAAAAGATGGAACAAAACTCAAAATCATGGGGGTGGAGGTGAGGTGGGAGGAAGAGACCAGGCTTACTGATCAGATAGAGACTTGAGGAGTCTGTGAGACTATGGCCCTCAGCCACCCTTCAGATCTGGTCCTAAACTCACCCTGCATGGCTCACCTTTCAGCCAAACCATAGGCAGGTCTATACGGGGAACAATAACACTAGGGAGATACACATGGCTTAGAACAATCAACTCTTTGAGAACAAAAGAGCAGCACTGACCCAGGGACGAAGTTCTGGGGGTTGGAAAAGATGGAGGGATGGAAACAGGAACCATGGGAAGAAAGCAGGATACGTGACGGGTCAGTGTGAGGGTTGCAAACAGTGACACGAAACAAACCTGTGGGATTGTTGAAGGCAAAAGTGATCTGCTGCGCAAACCTTCCCCCAGTTCACACACACACACACACACACACACACACACACAACCCCAAAGTGTCTAGTTCCTGATTAACTTCAAGTCTTGGCCAAGCTGCCGATCCTGAGACTTAAGTGAGAGAGTTGGTGCTGAGCCCACAGGCAGTGAAGACAGTGTGTATGAGACACCCACTGAGCTGCTGAGCCTTGCAGGGGGTGGTCTGCACCGTGGCATGGTGGCAATGGACCTAACATAGGTGGATTGATAAATGATGAACGGGTGGATAATGGCACTTATAACACCAAACATAGGAGTGGATGGATGGATGGATAAATGGACAGATGGATAGATGGATGGATATTGACATTTATAACACCAAATAGAGGGATGGATGGATGGATGGATGGATGGATGGATGGATGGATGGATGTTGACATTTATAATACCAAATAGAGGGATGAATGGATGGCTGGATAGATGGGCAGATGAATGGATGTATGGACAGAGGCCTTTATAGCAGCAAACATAGTGGGATAGATGGATGAATAAAAGGATGGGTAAATGAATAGAAGAATGGCTAAGTGGAGGGATGGACAGAAATATGAATACAATACAAATGGATGATTGGATGGAGGGATGGATGGGTGGAAGGTTCAGTAACAATCAAATTCATTAAGACTTCACTGGCATTAATATAAGGGAGTCCCAAGTCCTCCGGCGATACTCTTTCCTCTTCCTACTTGGCTCTTGTCCTGGGTCTAACAGGGACAGTGCTCATTCCCGTCAGGCACTCCTGGGCTCCAATCCTGCCTCAGCCACTTCCCATCCATGCAAAAGATGTCCATTCTGTACTCCTGATCCTTCTGTGACGTGGAGATGGCCGTGCTCCCAGGCAGATCATAGGGGGCATTTAGTGCGTTAGACAATGATGCTCTCGACAGAGGGAAGCTACCCAGGGCAAGGAGAATGTTCCGGACACAACAGGGCCAGCCCAGTGTTAGACTAGCCATCTTTTCAGTCTCTTCTGAGTGAGCTCCGTCTTGCTTGCTCTCTCTTGATTTCTTTCAGCCAGAAACTCAAACCTTTCTCTTCACTCTGGGCTGGCTTGTTGCCAGGCACCTATCAATGCCCAACAATACATGCTGTTACCAAGGCTGGCTGCTTGTTCTGGAGCAGAGGTGGGGAGTGGGGGAGCAGGGAGTCCAGGGAGGGTGACGGGCTTTTCCCCCATCACATTCAGTCTCCTCAAAAGGGTCAGACCCCTTTTGTCAGTTCTGACGTAGGAGTGCCCAATAACGATGAATCATTTTAATGGCTAATTGTATATGAAATGTTTTCTCTAACAATGACTCAACTGACGTATCCTTTTCTGCTTTCTATAAGGCACGCTGGACGTATCATCTTAGTATAAATCATATACGTATCATCTTAGTACAAATCCCATAGCATACAACTATGGGAACACAGATCATTTACTGTGTGTGTGAAAGTTGAATTCAACAGGGTGTCCTGCATTCTTCGGGGATCCCGAGTTCCGGAGAGAACTGCTGGGCAGACACCTCGGGCAGAAGCAAAAGCCAGAGGGAGGGCACTGGAGAGGGGCGGGGCAGTGGACAGGAAAGGGAGTGCTCCCTGTTTCTCATCGGGCTCTTGCTGTGCTGCGCATCGTCCTGGCCGGGGGCAGCTCCTGGAGATGTAGAGATAGATTCATCACCTGCCTATCCACCTGCCGTCCATGCAGTGGTCTGCATGTTGCTCTCAACAGAGGTGGCTAGAACAAGGGCTAGTGAGCCTGACTCTCACACACAAGTGGCCCCTAGGCTCAGAGAACATGTCCTCAGAAAGCAGCCTCTGTCCACACCACCAGGTCAGGGCAGTTGGCCGCTGCATCCTCAGGAAGCTCGGAAGTCCTGACAGCACAGACAAGGGGGAAGGGTGTTCCCAACGATGGCCTCTCTAAAGGAAGCATGCCTCCCCCTGCTCAGTCACACACCAAGTGGCCGCTGTCTACCTTGTGCGCCGACTGGTACTTTGGGGAGCCAATGGGAAAGGAACATCATTTGCCATCATAGGATTCTGACCCGTGACATCATATGGGCTCAGGACCCACTGGGATCTGAGATCAAACCACTCCGACACCATTACCTCCATCTGATCTTGGCCTCTGTCAGGGACCATGGCCCTGTTCTACCATCTGGCATGGCATGCCTTCCTCCCGTCTTCCTAAACCAGGTGTCCCTCCCTCGGGCACTCGGTCCTGGGACCTTTCCTCTGGTGAGCACAATTCCCCTGTGTTAAGGTCAGTCCTCAAGCTGCGGAGAAGGGGCATGTTCTTATCCTCTACCACACCCTGTCCCGTCAGGCATAGCAGTCAGGCAGAGGCAGCACCGGGCAAGATCTTGTCCCTCTAAACAATGGGGCTGACGGAATTTCCGATGCTCAGGGCTGTGGGCAGGCTTGAGGAAGATAATCCGCGGGAAGTGAGTGGGCCCAGGGCAAATGTTCAAATGCTTCCAAGCAGCCCTATCGGACAGGGAAGAACTCCCCCTGTGGGTTTCTGAGATTGTAACTCTTTCTACGGGAGTACAAAGCCAGGGTTTTCTCTTGAGGAACGGCTGGTGGTTTTGAACTCCTGGCCTTATGGTTGGCAGCCCAACATGTAAACTCGAAGCCACGGGGCTCCTCTGAGAGCCCTGACTGCAGACCTGGTTCAACAACAGGGTCACTGATGAACGAGCAGGCCAGCGAACAAGCAGGTGAACACCCAGATACAAGCACCACGGGCTGAGTCACTCACGGCACCCGTTGGCGACAGTCCCCACACAGGCTGCTTCAAACGTCCCAGGCCAAGTGCCTTATTTGCTTTGGCTGGCTTTGTTCCCACTCGACTGACAGCTTGTTTAGGGTTCTTGGAGACAGGCTGACAGCCCACAAGCTCCTGGGTTTCCCAGCCTGTCAGATTGCTCTCCATTGCAGGCAGAGCTGTTCCCCAAACAGAGGGCCCTTCCGGCGGAGCCCCTTACACCCTGCCCTGGCCAACACCAGGCTGAGAGCAGGGGTTTGGAATGCCGGGGAACACAGGGTCTGCGTGCACGCTGCCTCTTTGTTCCATTGGTTGCCAATGACTGACTACTGGCGGCCTCCCGGGCAGGCCAGCAAGGCAAAGCATTGACAGGCTCGGCACCATCCTCACAATCATGACAATGCTGATGCCCATGTTCACCGTCACCGGGAGTACACCGGCCACTCCTTGGAAGACAGAGGCCACTGCCTGTTCCAGCACAGATGCGCAGCCTCGGGAATCGAGCTGGACAGTTCTGCCCAGCTCTGCAAGGATGCTCGGAGTCAGGGTAGACGCGATGGCAATGCCTGGTTCTCTGTGCTGGGGGCAGAGGCTTCTCCTTTCCAGTGGCGCGACGTGACAAGTTACACTCCGTCACGCGTGTACAGCTTGTTCTTCCAGATCACAGAAAGCACGCAAGGCCAAGATCCTCTGTGCTCCAGTCATGAGAAGCTTCGAGCACACTTCTCTCTGCCTCCCTCCTCAGCATCCCAGGGGCTGGCACCTAGGAGAGGAAGACGGGAGGGAGCCAGAGGCTTGAAGCACCGCTTCTGGCTCTGTGGAGTTTCTGTTTTCTATAGCATTCTCTTCTGCTGCTTTGAAGTCTGAGCTCTGCTTTTTCCTTCTTCTGTTCCTTTCCCGAGGCACGTTGTGCTGGCCAGTAAAGAGTCCCAGCCTTCAGAAGAGACAACTCATTCAGTCCCTCCCTTGGGCAACCCCACTGACCCCTAACACCAACGGAAGGGCCACGGGTAGATCCCCGCCAGACCACGTACTGGCGTGCCGGCCAGCGGCACTGGGGCACGAACCCATCACTGAGCAGCTCCTTGTGCTGATCCAATTCCAGCCCGCAGGGAGATGAGCTGGCAGAGGGACAGTGCGCACAGTGTGGGGATGGTGGCGAGAGGAAGGGATGCTGAGGGGAGGGCAGGCAGGCTAATACTCACAGGGCAGCGGTGCACCAGCCAATACGCCTTCTCCTGGCCATCCAGGGCATACCTGTCGGCTTTGTTCCTCTCCTTGCCAGCTCTGAAACACCAGAAGCGCGTTTAAGGCCGGTGATGCCTCGCTTCTCTTGGCCACTGAGGTGCCCTCTCCCTAATCACCTGGACCACCCTCCTCAGCCTGCCCAAATAAACCCTGCTTTGCCATAACCATAAAAATGGCAAACTCTTAGGTCCCCCTTCGGGGTCAGGTCCCCTTCTAACTGCCTTGGCAGGTATGAACTCATGTAACCCTCCCAAGGGCCCTTCCTCACTCCACAGAGCAGGGGACCAAACTGAGAGAGGCCATCCCCCTGGGAAGAAATGGGAGAAATGGTGATGGAGGTGGGGAACAGGGAGGTGGCAGAGGTGATGGGGGCTGGGGGTGCAGAGATGGAGGTAGTGGAAGAGGTAGGCTACAGTGGTGGAGGTGGGAGGTGGTGGCAGAAATGGGGGTGGGGTAGTGGAAGTGGTGGTGGGAGAGGGCAGTGTGGGGGGAGGTCGTGGAAGTGATGGAGTGGTGGAGTGATGGGAGGTGGCTGAGGTGAAGGAGGTAGAGTTGGGGGTGATGGAGGTGGTGGGGAGTGGGGGGGAACGATGGCAGCCATGAAAGTAGTGGGGACATAGGAGAATAGAAGCAGTGGAAGTGGTGGGGGTGATAGAGTGGGAGGGGAGGGGAGGGGGATGGAGGTGCTGGGGTGAGGGTTGGTGGGGTGGGAGTGGTGGAGGTTCGAGAGTGGTGGGGGGGCAATGGGAAGTCGAGGTGGTAGACGTGATGGAGGTGGTGGGGTTGATGGCGGTGGTGGAGGTTAGAAAGGAGGGTGACAGAAGTGGTGGAGGTGCTGAAAGTGATGGGGATAATGGAGGTGGCGGGGGCCGAGGTTTGGAAGGGGAACAGGCACTGGGGGTGGCAGAGACCACAGAGGTCTTGCTCATAATCCACAGTGTCTCAGACAATACTGAGTTGTTAAACAGCCATGACCTGCGACTAACCCTAGAATCCAATCAACTCCACGGGCTTCACAACTCCCTCCCTTGAGAACAGGATATTCCTGGCTGGCATTTGAACACCTGGCCTTGTCATTTTCCCTGGTTTGTTTGGTTTGGGGTTTGGGTAAGGTGTCCGGACACCCCGCTTTGGGCGGGACAGTCCCGATTTTTGGCATTTTTTAAAAGTCCCGATTTTTTTTTGAAAGAATGCATGACAAACTAGGAAATGGTCTATTTGGTGCATATAGACCAAATTTTTAATCAAGACCCCCACCCCGGTCAATGGTGTCCCGTTTTAAATCTGGTCACCTCCGGTTTGGGGTTTGAGGGTGGGGGCTGGGGGGTGACAGACAACATCATCAAGATTTGACCTAGTCGACCGATCAAAACCAGAGCTTGTGATGGAGGGAAAGCTGGGCCCCTGGTCTCCTCCTGACCTGCCCAGTCCACTCTGCCAGTCCAGCGAGTTCGTGCTCATTCAGGGCTCTTGTCTGCGCCCAGCGCACAACCCTCAAAGCCTCCCTTCCCTCTTTCCTCTCCCACCGGGGTAGGGGTAGGGATTGATGCTGGGCTTTCCTTCGGCAGGAGAAGGGAGCACTACCAATTCCCCGTGAGCCTCGTTCAGCACCGTTTCCACAACGACCTCAGCTGGCACTCGGCTGTGCCTGTTTTCCGGGGAACGTGAGATGACGCGCAGGGCCTCTCTAAGGCAGAGCCGGCCCATTTGTTTCCCAGCTAATGTTCGGTGAATCACACCCAGAGGGCCAGAGCAGGGTCATTCCACTGGGTGTCTGAGCAACCTCGTCTAGAAATTGAATATAAACACGGTCGTGTCAATGGCCCCCAGCCAACCTAACTGGATTATCTTCCAGGCTAACAAGCCCCTGTCTTCAGGAGAATGAGCCACAGAGGACCTGGGGCACCCCGCGGCGTCTCCATAGTGCTGCCCAGCTTAGTAAACGGAGTCCATGGAAAAATTACTGCTCCCCCCACCCCAAGTCCTTTCTAGTTTTGCTTTTCTGGGAGAGAGCTGCGACAAATGGATTCTGAGAGTTCGTGAACAAGGGATGCTTTCAGTGGACTGCCTTATGGTTTTGATTGTTTTTTGAAGCAATAGCTATTCGCATATCATTCATTCATTCATGTATTATTTGAGATTCACTTATATTCCAGGCCCTGAGAGGATCCTGTTGACCCAAAGAGATAAGAGTCCCTGCCTTAGAAGAACGTGTAGTCTAAACCTTCCACAACTCGTCAAGACGTAGAGAATGATAAACTGCCGTCTGGGCGAAGAGGAAATGTTTGTGGTCCCGTACTGTAGAATCCAGAGGATCCTTGTGGCGATGTCTAAATTGGTCGACAAATCTTCGACACTCTTTCCACTGAGATGGATGCCTGTGTCCCCGGTCTCCTTGAAACTGGGTTGGCTTTCGCGGTTGTTTCAGATGACACCAGACGACAAATGGGCACTATGTGACTTGTGAGGGGGCCCAGCAAAGAAGGGGCATCAACGCTTTCTTCCCTGGAATCTTGCCTCTTGGGAGATGCATTCAGCTCCATGCAACCAATCCAATTGCCAAGGTGCTGCCATGCTGTGAGGAAGCCCAACCTAATGCATGAGGAGAGGCTCAGGAGCTCCAAGGGTGGAGGGGAAATGCCCAGCCAGCCCTCCAGCTGTACCAGACCCCCAGTGTTGGATCGCCACCACTTCGAGCCCCTGAGCCAGGCCTTCCCAGCTCAGCCTTTCATGAATCCTTGGCCCAGAGAAAGGGAGGGATCATAAAACAATGGTTGCTATTTGGGGGGTCACTTCGTTTGTGGGTGAGCTATCTTCAGTGAGAGCTGATCAGAAGAGCCTTTCGGAGGCTGTGACCCTGGAAGTTGGCACTCCTTGGTTGCTTCTGTGAAACCAGGAACGCGATCCTATTTCTGTGTGGAAAACGGAGGGGGAATGGGAGGAATGGAGGCCAGCTGAGAGGATGTCCTGATGGTCCAACTGCAAGTGAGGTTGGTTCACTTGGGTTTGGGTTGTTGGGGGCGGAAGGGGGGTTCGGTTGCCCCGTTCCCCCCCTTCAGTTCCTTTTTGCTTGTTGGGGCCCTTTTGGGCAGAGTCGAACGCTCCTTTGAGTTTCGGAGGCTGTCGATCTTTACAGGAGCAGTCTCCCAGAGAGCACCTGGTGGGCTCGAACTACTGACCTGTCAGTTAGCAGATCAACACATAATCCACTACCTCACTCGAAGAGATTTCACTAGCTGTGATAATCAGGTGGAATGACTGACAGAACCCCAGAGAGGAACACGGAGGCGGGCGGTGTTCGCTGTGCTGCTTTGCACAGTCCTTCGAGGAGAAAAGGTTTGCAGGGTGGAAAGAAGATTTGATCAAATATGGGCCGTGCCTTTCTCTCCCCTAAGCCCCCGTGTTTGGCACACAAATGCCCCATAAAGATTTCTTCTAATAGCAGGAAACAAAGAAGGGAGGGAAGGGGCTAAGGCCAGGAGGACTCCCCGGCCCCTCTCACTTACCTGTACTGCTCTTTGGCCTGCATAATGACAAAATCCCACTTGTAACTGATCTTTTGGTTCAGGAAATTGTAATTTTCCTAGAAGGGAACACAAAAGGCAGGGCTGAGCCCCAGAACCATGTGTGCACTGCGGAGCAAGCTGCCGGCTTCACAGCAACACCAGCCCAGACCAATCGCCTCCCACCCACGCTGGTGTGCATTCCAGGGGTGGCCCAGGGCCATCAGAAAGCCTCACAGCATGTCTTCATTTGCTGGGATTCTTTTCTCTTTTTTTTTAATATAATAACTATATCTCCGATCTGATTAGGAAGACAGGCTTGGGGATGATGAAGAATCTCGTAAGACGAGATTCTTCACAGAGCCGCCAAGACCAGCATCGTCAGCGTACCTTTTCATATTCTTCCAAAATCCCCTTCTTCTTGATATTGCGCTTGGTCAGATAGATGGCTGGGAGAGAAAACAGTGGTATTTTCCATCATCATCATCATCACCATCATCATTCAAAATGGCATCTGCAGCCTTCGGAAGCAAGCAGGCTGCTATGCTCAGCTGAGCAGCCAGCTTAGCAGACCAGCCCCCTTCTCCCTGGGAGCACTCCCCAGTGCTCAGCAGGCCAGCCCCCTCCTCCCTGGGAGCACTCCCCACACAGATGGGAACTGACATGAAGGTCATGAGGACAAGACAAATGCCACCAGGAAACAGCAAGCAGATAAACAGCCTGTTTAGTACGACTCCAGGCAGATCCAGAGACCAAGATTTACCGTAGTCTGTATCTTCAGCCGGCCACTGCTGGGTGGGCCAGAAATATGGGGTCTACAAGAGAAACCAGGGAAGCCACGCTTAGACCCGTGGTTAAGACTCTGGGCGCCCCCAGAGCTTGACCTAGGAGGCAAATCTACACCTTAGCCCCGCCCCACCATTTCCAAAGTCCCTAATCCCTGAAGACTAAGAAGTCAACCACTTATCTTTGCAGTAAGATGACTTCTCATAGGAGTGGCCCCAAGGGCAAGCCCAAGACTCACCTGAAATCGGTAGAGGCTGCCGTCCGGCTTGAGAATCAGGTTCTTCGGGTCTTGCAGGGGGTAAATGTAGCCATATTTGACAATGAAGTTGCCCAAATTCTGGGCCTCTGGGAAGAAGCAGTTCAGACATGAAAGATAAGAGCCGGGGCCCAAAGACAGAAGCTTTGTTGCCTGGAGATAGGCCCCTCCTTTCCCACTGCATCTGAGGAGTGAGCACATTGTTCTCTGGGCCTCACTCGTTGTGGGGGGGTCTCGGCTGGGCCCAGACACCAAGGAGGATGTCAGCCACAGCCCAGCATGACAACTGGGCCATCGGTGGGCCTATGGAGGTGGTCTGTGGGGGGGCGCTTAGGGTCTTTCCTGATGAACAATCCCCAGTGACAACATTCTTTCACATTTCTCAGAGACAAAGGCTCAGCCTCCCCAGAGTCCTTGCAAGGACTGCCCAGTTGACTTCCACACACTGGGCCCCTAAGACTGTCCAAGTATCACTCGGTCCCAGAGAGTTTTCAAGGGCTAATCGAATTTGGGAGTCAGTTGGCAGGCCTCCATCGCTCTTAACCCAGTTGAGTCAACCTCACTTGTGGTTGAACCACCACACTAGCCCCCAACTGGCCTCCCGGTTCCCAATTTGCCTCCTTGTTTCACACCCAAGTAGGACTCAAACTTCAACCCTTGGATTACCAGTTGACCACCCAGGGACTTTGTCTGCTGTGCGCACCGTCCTAGACAGGAGGGCGGGCTCTCACCCAGATTGGAGATCCACAGCCGTTGGGTGATCCACTGAAGAACGTCACTTCCTGTAAAACAAGCGTCTTCGGTCATCATACAACACCTGGACCCAGGTCCAGCCTCACACCCTCCTCTGCACGGTTGCCTCACGTGGTCCTCCTCACCCCTTCCACCTTATCCCTGTCCTGCTACAAACCTTCGGGACTCTCCAAGGCGCCCAGTCCAAACTCCAAAGCCTGTCACCAAGGCCACTTGTGACCTGGCTCTGAGCAGATTCTCAGCTTTGTCTCCCTGCCACCTACCCAGACTTGCCCTGTCGGACTTGTTGTCTCCTTACGGTGATTCCAGAAAGCTAGCAGACCAAGTCTTAACCGTGAGATACACAGATGCGGGGGGCCATCCCGGGGGCTCCACGTGGAGCTTGGACACAGGAAGTAAAAGAGGGCAGCTGGGGTGAGGGAGAAGGGGTGGGAGAAGGGAGTAGGATCATGTGTGTCAGAGTCCACATGCCAACAGCTGGTATGGAGGTGGGGAGTTTGGGAATCTGTTGTTTGTGTGTTATTAGATTTTGTTTTGTTTCGGCAGCTCAGAAGCAAACGCCTCCATGTCTACACTCCTACTTTTAAGGCTAGGACAGGGTGTTTCAGACCTGCCCCTCCCAGTGTCACTGTAAATGCCATACCGCAGTGCACAGCCCGGGCAGGGACCCGGACAGACAGGAGAGTGATGAGCTCTCTTGCAAGGAGCCAAGGGTTTTCCATCCACTCAACTGCTTCATGAACCATCAAATACAATTCCAGTGCCACGGCGTCTGCACTGAGGGGCCTGGGCGCTCAGCACACAAGATGCTCAGGCCCCCATCTCAGTTACCTTTCTCCCCAGGCAGTCCGGGTCACCTGTCCCCCCAAGGAGCCAGACAGCGGATTACCCAGCAGGCTTTGTTTCACTGGTGCAGGTATTGCAGGCTCCGTCCGTATGTGGCCTGAGCCTGCAGTAACTGACATTCGCCGAAGCAGGCAGGACATGGACAAAGAAGGTAGGGGCAGGTGCCCTGTCCCCATTTGAGGGCCAAATGAGTCCAGGGTACCAGGAAGGGGAGCATCTCTTGCCCTGGGACTCTGTCCGAGGCGAGTGTGGAGTCTGGGGTGATGTGCAGTGGTTGCTAACTGCTGGAAAGCCACACACAATGGTACAACATGCTGCCGAACCTGAGTCATCCTCAGGCTCGGGTGCCTATTGGGCCACTGTGAACAATAGGGGTTTCGTTGGCTAATTCTTGAGAGTAACCCCCCAGGCCTTGGTCCGCAGTGCCACTCCAGGCTCCAGCCAAGACGCATTAGCCTGATGGCAGGCGGCAGGTGGCTGAGCCTCGCTGCATCTCCACTACCCCTCTGCACACCGCCTGGTCACAGCAGCTGAGGTAGTTAGTTTATTGTGCCAACCTGGCCGATAAACACATGTGGGGCTGCACACTTGCACAGGGCCACCCCACTTCAACCCACCAATGGTCCCCCGAGGCAGAGGTTGCTGCTCCCACCTGAGGCTGCACTGTCTTTGTGTCGAGTTGAGACTGACTGGTGGCAACCCTAACCCAGACTGTCGGTCTTTATGGGAGCAGGCAGCCTCATCTTTCTCCTGAAAAGAGGCTGGTGGGTTTGAACCGCTAATCTTGCAGTTGTGTGGTTCAGCATCTAGTGCACAAGGCCACCCAGGCTGGGGCCCTCGGGCTGATGGGAGGCACGGCAAGGACCCTGCTCACCTTCCAGTGCTCTCTGCATAGGCCAGATGGGCTCGTGATGGACTGAACCCCCACCTGGAAGCGGCCCTCTGCTAGCTCAGAGACTACCCATCAGCAGATTACCATGAGCCGTCTCCCACTCAAATAGAGTGGAACATCCAGGCTAGAATCCCTCAGGGCCAGGGAGGGAGGTGGGGGTCTTAATTGGGGGGTGACAAAAGCATCCAGATGTGGCTGCTCTTTGAGGAACTACCCTGCTCTCTGGTTTTCCCAAGTCAGGCTCATCAGCTTCCCCTATGTGTGTGTGAACAGCCTGGAGCATCTCGCCCCACGCTGTTGTTGCTTCACCTAGCCAGAGTTTGGCTTTCTGCTGCTCACACCCAAGGACCCCTGGGACACTGTGCAAGTGGGAGCACCGCTTCTTCCACGCAGTCACAAAAGGACAGCCAGCTTGTCCCTGCAGAGACACGGGGACCTTGAGTGAAGAGTTCATAGCCAGGCCATGAGGGACGCTGAGCGTGACAGCTCACCAGCACAGACGGGTGGTGAATCCTGGACCTGATCTTTGTTCGAGAAGCTGTCGGCTTCTGCAGGCACCACGTCCTGGTACACGATACATGAAGGAGCTTCAAAACCTCCGAGGACAGGCCATTACCTTTTCACTTCAATTTTTCCACGCACGTGGGTGAAGCCTCCTTGTACGGTCTACTACAATTCCATCTAACCCCGCCCAGAGAGTGAGGACAGAGGGGCTCCAGGGTGTATAATGGGTATGCGTTACTGCTAACCACAAAGCCAGCGGTTTGAAACCACCAGCCGCTCTGTGGGATAAAGATGAGGCTGCCTGCTCCTGTAAAGATGGACAGCCTCGGAAGCTCTTGGGACAGTTCTATCCTGTCCCACAAGATGGGTGTAAGTTGTGATCGACTAGACAGCAATGTGTTTGGGTTTCTGGGACTATGAATTAGAAGGCAGGGAAGGGTGAAGGAAGACAAGGGCTGGGGGGTGTTTTCTTCTATTGGTTTGGTTTTCTCAACCCCCTGGCTGGTTTGGTCTTTCGCTATCTGATTTTGTCAAACACAAAACATGCAAAAGTCAACAACAGTAGAGGCTTTCTAACTAAGACCTCCAGGTAGAAGGAGATTCAGCAGTGACCTATGGAGTCTTTGCCACTTTCCTCTCTGGCCCCTCCCTCAGGAAGAGACGATAGTCCCGGGTCAGTGGGCTGATTCTATCAAAGGAATAAACAGCTTCCACCGTATGGAGTATCAGGTCTCTGTCAAAACTACTAGCTCTATGAAAGAAGCCATAGGCAATGTATGCCAATAAAACTTTATTTGCTAACACAGACTGTGGCCAGAGACCAGGGTAGCTCCACAAAGGGTGGAGCTTTTCAGGGACCCTTTTTACTCTCCAGTGCTGCTACAACAGCAATGGCCAATGGGTAGCTTTAATAAACAGAAATGTATTCTCTCACAGGTTAGGAGACTAGAAGCCTGATTCAGACCATCAGCTCCAGGGGGATCCTTCCTCTCTACGGGGCTCCAGGGGAAGGTCCCTGCCAACAGCATTCCCCTGGGTCTATGAGTTTCCCAGCATAGGGACCCTGGTTCCCAGGGGCACACTCACTTCAATCTCTTTCTTGGTGCTCTCTGCCCACTTGGCTGATCTCTTTTAGATCCAGAAGAGATTGATTTCAGATAAAACCTAATCCTACTTCATAAACATAGCTGCCTCCAATCATGCCTCATTAACATCATAGAAGTAGGATTGGCAACACAATGGATAATTACATCAGATGAGAAAAATGGACAATAATTACAAAATTCTGAGAATCATGATCCAACCAGGTTGACACACATTGGGGGCACACAATTTAACTCATAACACCCCTCCCTCCATTTAAGATGCAGCTGTGGCCAACCTTCCTGAAGCCCCTATGTGGCCCACAGTTGTTCTGCCATGGCGTGGTCTGTACCCGGCCAGGACTGTGTCTCAGGATACATCACCTGTCATGGCGTGAGGGACGCTGGTGACCAGGACCCTCTGGTTCTGCATTCGGACCCCCGTCTCGGAGTTCTGCATGTCCTTCACTATTGCTTCGATCTGAAAGATAGCAGAAGAGGTTGGCTGCGGCCCTTTCTGGAGGACCAAGTCAGGCACAGGTGCAAACAACCTGGTGCAGAAAAAGATGAGCACCGGACTGCCCAGAGTGCCCTTCATGTGAATACTTCCCAAGCGTGCTTCCTGTGTGTACTTCCCATGTGCCCTTCACATGTGTTCTATGTGTTGCACGTGTGCCCTTCACGTGTGTGCCCTTCACATGTGTGTTTTATATGAATGCTTCATGGCCATAGAGACCTTGACTGTGTGTGAAGCTCAAAGAGATTGATCCTGACTCAGAGAGTCTGGGGAGCGTTTAAGATGGGATTTCATGAAAGAAGATTTTGCTGGCAAAGGAGCAGTGTGAAGAAGAGGCCAGAAGGACCCCTGGATCACCCAAAGCCTGCGCAGAGCTGCATCCCCACGTCCAGCGCCTGCGCCCCACCGCCGGCTCGAGAACGGCTGAAGGGGATGCTGAGGGAGACAAAGCCCAGGTGAAGGCTGAACTCAGGGGAGATCGGCAAGGTTATCTGCTAAACCTGCTCCTCCTACAACGGCCCCTGCCAAGACGGGAGAGAAGGTGCCCAAAGGGAAAGCTGATGTTGGCAAGGATGGGAACAGCCCTGCAGAAAGTGGAGATGCCAACACGGACCCAGCACAGAGAGCCGACAGTGCTGGAGATGCCAAGTGCAGCACGTGCATTTCTATAATTGTGCACTGCCGGTGACTGTGCAGTTGGAAACACTATTTGGTATCAAGTTTTATAAAAATGCAGCATTTTGTTTCACTTTAATTTTTAAGCTATGTTGTTAGCACACAGAGCACTTCGTTGTTGTGAGGGGCTGGGGGGAGGGTGCCAATGTCTCCAATAGGCTGTCTCTAAGCTGGATTGATGTGGAAGACAGCACGTGCCCTGCTAGTTTTGAGAGACTCCCTCTGGGTTCCCAGGAGGAGGGATTCCCTGATGCTCACACGGTTGAGCCACCTTGGCACAAAGCCCTTGTGATGGGGAAAGCGTACAATTGGTTTTTACCTCCTCCGGACCCTGTTCACCCTCTCTGCCTTCAGTATAGACTTGACTCCCATAAGCCGGAGACCTGTTGGAACCTGACCTCCAATCATTGGTGGTTAGCCTGTCGGGCGATCTGGACTGTCCGGGGACACCATCCAAACGGCATCCCTCAAAAGAGCAGCGGGCCCTTTGTTCAGAGGGTGGCTCTTCGGATGGGTAATTCTGCCAAGTTTATTTCATTTTCTGAACATCAGGGTTGGCTCATGGAAAGAGGTCCAAGCACCACGCCGCACGTGAAACGTCAGCCCTCACTCTAAACTGTCCCCGTTCAAAGCGTCGGCCGAAGACCCCATCGGGTTTGAGAGTGGCTCTCTGATTTGGGTAGTCCATTGAAGAAGGGAGTTGGAACGTTGTTGTACACTGTTAACGATCGGCTGCCCATGTCGTGCCTGAAAGCGTTTATGAAAAGTACCTTGCATAAAGCTGGATACCATTTGGCTTGGGGGGAGGTGAGATTATGCTGGGGAAGTGACGCCACGGCGCAGGCAAAGACATGGCAGGACCCCGGTCTTGTGTGAGCACGAAGAACGGAAGACAGTGGGAGAGGATGCTGCAAGACCACGCCCAGATCTGGTGGCCTATTCCAGTGGCGAGCGCAGGACAGTAGCCCAACCACAAAAGTTATGTTGACGTCAACCCCTGACCCTGTCATTCAGACTCTGTTCGGAAATGGCAGGTTTTCTTCCTGAGATGCGAACGAGACCATACCAGAGTAAACGCACTGCCCTGGAGCCTACAGGACAGGGTAGAACTGCTTCGGTGGGGTTCCCAGACTGTAATTCTTTGAGGGAGTAGAATGCCTTCTCTCTCTCACTAGGAACGGCTGGTGGTTTCAAACTGCTGACTCTGTGATTAGCAGCTACGTGGTTGGCCCACTATGCCACCAGGGCTCTCAGATATGAGAATGAGGTGGGTCCTGATCCTGATCACTTCTGAGTTTCACGGGAAGTAGAACAGACACGAGATTCCTGGGGTGACGACAGATCCATGTGGGAGTGCACAGACAAGCCAAGAGGCCCCAGAGCAAAGCCCAGACAAGAGGAGTGGGGTTGAGAGATGGAATCAACAAGGCCCAGAGCTTAGTTTGGACAACTGTGGTTGTTAGGTACCATCCAGTCGGTTCCTGTCCATAGCGACCCTGTGCACAACAGAATAAACCCCACCGGGACCTGTGCCATCCTCACAACTGTCCCCACACTTGAGCCCGTTGTTGCCGCCACCATCTCAATATACCACCTTGGGGGCCTTCCCTTTTTGCTGCCCCTCTACTTTACCAAACATGATGTCCTTCTCCAGGGACTGGTCTCTCCTGACAACTTGTCCAAAGTCTGTAAGAGGATGTCTCGCCATCCTTGCCTCTAAGAGATTCTGGTTTTTCTCCCAAGACAGGTCATCTGTCCTTTTAGCTAGCAGTCCATGGGACTTTCGATATTCCTCTCCAGCAGCACCACTCAGATGCATCGACTCTTCTTTGGTCTTCCATATTTAGTGTCCAACTTTCACATGCATATGACGTGATTGAAAATACCATGGCTTGGGTCAGGCTCACCTTAGTCCTCAAAGTCACACCCGTATTTTTGAATACTCTGAAGAGGTCTTGTGCAGCAGATGGACCCAATGCAAGGCATAGTTTGATCTCTTGACTGCTGATCCATGAGCTTTGATTGTGGATCCAAGCAAAACAAAGTCTTTGACAACTTCCACATTCATTTTCTCCATTTATTTTGATGTTACTTATTGGTGCATTTGTGAGGATTTGGGTCTTCTTTACATGGAGTTGTGATCCACACTGAAGTCTGCCATCCTTGATCTTCATCAGCAAGTGCTTCAAGTCCTCTTCACATTCAGCAAGCAAGCGTGTGTCATCTGCATACGGCAGATTGTTAATCAGCCTTCCTCCAATCCTGACGCCACATTCTTCTTCATACAATCCAGCTTCTCTAATGATTTGCTCAGCACACAGATTGAGTAACTGATGTACACCTTGCCTGATTTTAAACCATGCAGTCTTTCCTTGTTCCATTCCCACAACTGCCTCGTGATCCTCGACAAGTTCCACATGGGCACAATCAAGTGTTCTGGAATTCCCATTCTTCTCAAGATCATCCATAGTTTGTTATGATCCACACAGTCAAATGCCTTGTAAAGTCAAACACAAGTGAGCCTCTTTCTGATGCTCTCTGCTTTTAGCTAAGAAAAATCATGGGCAACTCGCTCAGCATTTCTGAACGCGTTCAACCATCTGATCCTAGAACGGGGGTCATCCTTGTATGGGCTCTGCTGATTCCAAACAAAACAAAACTCACTACTACGGAGTTGATTCTGACTCACAGTGACTCTGTAGGATCGAGTAGAACTGTTCCTGTGGGTTCCCTGACTGTCACCTTTACAAGAATAGAGAGTCTCATCTTTCTTTTTTTTAATCACTTCATAGGGGGCTCATACAACTCTTATCACAATCCATCCATCCATTGTGTCAAGCATATTTGTACATTTGTTGTCATTATCATTTTCAAAACATTCTCTTTCTACTTGAGCCCTTGGTATCAGCTCCTCATTTTCCCCCTCCCTCAGGAACCCTTGATAATTTATAAATTATTATTATTTGTTCATGTCTTACACTGACCGCTGTCTCCCTTCACCCACTTTTCTGTTGTCCGTCTCCCAGGGAGGGGGTTATATGTAGATCATTGTGATCGGTTCCCCCGTTTATCCCCCACCTTTCCCTTCCCCTCCTGGTATGGCTACTCTCATTATTGGTCCTGAGGGGTTATCTGTCCTGGATTTCCCTGGATTCCCAGCTCTTATCTGTACCCGTGTACATGCTCTGGTCTAGCTGGATTTGTAAGGTAGAATTGAGGTCATGATAGGAGGAGGGGAAGAAGCATTAAAGAACTAGAGGAAAGTTGTATGTTTCAACGGTGCTACACTGCACCCTGACTGGTTTGTCTCCTCCCTGAGACCCTTCTGTAAGGGGATGTCCGGTTGCCTACAGATGGGCTTTGGATCTCACTCTGCACTCCGCACTCCCGCAGCCTCATCTCTCTCCAGAGGAATGGTGGGTAGTGTGAACTTCAGCCTTTGTGATTAGCCCACTACACCACCAAGGCTCCTCTGCTAACCAACACGGTTCCTTTTATAGTTAAGTTAAATCATTGTGGAAACTTCTTTATAAAGAGAGCTGGAAATGCTTGTCCTTAAGATTATAACCAATAGTGCTTAAGGTTATAACCAATAGTGCTAGTAGCATTTGTACAATTGGGCCATCTTTGAAAATGTGCATGTAGAGCTGTTTAAACACCTTTGAATAAAAACCTAGCTCTACTAAGGCAATCAGATATAAATATTTACTGAGCATATGTTAAGTACTTAGTACTCTAGGGAATAGAAAATGGCAAAATACATAGGCCCAGTCCTGAGAGTTGGAGAAACAAGCTGTGAGAGACACACATTAATATAACACCTACACCTCAGTCTCAACGACCTTGAGACCCAGAGAACTCAGTGTCCAGCTTCCACTACCAAGAAGAGCTCAGAAAGGGATCACATTAGAAGGTCCTGGACAGATGAAAAGAAAATGTGGATAAAACTTAAAATCATAAAAAACACTAGACTCCCTGGTCTCCCTGACAGAGAGTGGTGCTCCCTGTAAACTATGGCCTTTAAAACTGAAGTTGATCCCCACCCCCATCCCACCCCCGTGGCTCAACATTCAGCCTAGGACAGGCAGGTCTACAAGGTCAATAATAACACGAGGGAGATACCCACTCTTACGGCAATCAACCCTTCCAGATCCAAAGGGCAGCATGGGCCCAAGGATAATGTTCAGAAGGCAGGACGGGACAGCAAAGAAGGAGCAATGGAAACCGGAAACAGGGAGGAAGTGGGATCCGTGAGGCGACATGGTGAGGTTACAGTCAATGGCGTGAAA